CCCCTTGTCTATATATAAAGATTCTGACCAGCCTGGGCTACATAGCAAGACTCTACCTCAAACAAACAAGGCCACTAATAAGTAGTTCTGTTGCCTGTTCCTTCCATAATGCTGTATTCAAACCACACGGGAAGATTCCACTGTGGGACTGTACTGTAAAATTTTTAAGTTGTGGTCCCTGCTGGGCAATAGTGACCCACACCTATGAACCCAGTACTTGAGAGATAGAGGCTAGAGTTCAATACCTAGGCTACACAGTAAAACTGAGCCTCAAAATAAATAAATAAATAAAAATAAAAAGGGCTGGAGATGTAGCTCAGTGGCATATCACTTGCCTTGCATGTATAAGACCCTGGGTTCCAATCCTAGCTCGATTTTTTTTAAAGTTATATCTGTACTCAGAAATCATCGCCCATGGCAGATAACATTGACACAGATAAATGACACTCAGAATATTAAATTTGTAAACAATAAAAGTATATGAAGTTTGTCGAGGTAATAAGAAATGTTTGCCTTAATTTAAAAAAAAAAAGCAGGGGGAGGTGGGTGGGTGAGAGAACATAGGGAGGATATGCTGATCCCTTACCTTCTATATTATATGTCAAACACAGCTCTGTGCTGAGGATCCACTGGGCAACAAGACAGTGTTTCTCTGTCTTCAGAGTTTGGAGCACATGGGAAACAAACACTAAATACCCAATTAAGCAATCATTTACTCCCAATTGTGATAAGCAGTATGAAGGAAAATTACAGTGTTCTTTGGTTTAGAATGGAAAGCAGGAAGGCATTCTGTAGGAAGTGACATTGGGCCCAGTAGAAATTAAGGAGGTTGGGCGTGGTGACACACACATGTAATCTCAGCACTTAGAAAATGGAGGCAGGAGAATCAGAAGTTCCATGCCAGCCTTGGCTACAAAATAAGACCAGCCTGAGTTACCCGGGACATGATCTCATGTTTTGGGTTGTGAGCCTAGCCTTTAACACAACTGGGTCATCTCTCCAGCCTGAGAGCCTATCTCAAAAGGTGAGAGGGGAGAGAAAGAAATTGAAGGGGACAATGAGAAACCTACACAGAGGGAACTGTGTGCGAAGACACTGAGGGAGCGAGAGTCAGCAGAGGAACGGAAAGGCCAGTGTCCTTGTTACAATGGAAATAAGAGGGAAGTGGCATTTCCCTGGTGAGACAAGCAAGCATCTCATGCTGGGTCTCAGAGACAGTGTTAAAACTTGAGATCTTGTCAAATGATAGTATACACTGTAATCTCAGCACGTGGGAAGTGGAGGCAGAAGGCTGAGGAGTTAAAGGCCAGCCTGGGTTACAACCAACTTTGTCTCAAGACAAACAATTGGGGACTGGAGAGGTGGCTCAGTGGTTAAGAGTATGTATTCCTCTGTTCAATCATACCACAAAGATACATGCTCAACTATGTTCATAGCAGCATTATTCGTAATAGCCTGGAAACAACCTCGATGGCCGTCAACTGAAGAATGGATTAAGAAAAAGTGGTACATATACACAATGGAGTACTACTCAGCAGTAAAAAACAATGACAGCATGAAATTTGCAGGCAAATGGAACTAGAAAATATCATCCTGAGTGAGGTAACCCAGACTCAGAAGGACAAACATGGTATGTACTCACTCATAAGTGGATACTAGATATAAAGCAAAGGACAATCAGATTGCAACCCACAGAACCAGGGAGGCTACCTAGCAGGGGGGACCCTAGGATGACTGTGGCTTATAATAAGTTTTGGTTTTGCCCAATCACTGGGCAAGCTTTAGCGAAACATTTCACTAAGAATAATAATTTGTACTGTATCAAGCTGATGAAAGAAAATGTTGGCTGTACTTTCAGGGGCGGGGGGAGACTAAAATCTTTTTAGATTATGGACCAGCCTATAGAAAAATGTCTGCCATAAATCAAACAGTGAAAGGGAAGATGAATAGGAATCTCACTTACACAACTTAAGTAAAACACAGCTCTCTGAACAGATGAAGATAGGTTTCTTCTGTATCCCAGAATCTAATCAATATTTATATGTATAATTCGGCTATTATCTGGCTCAAAAGGACTTATTGGGAAATGTTATCATTTTTACTATTTTCTACAGAGAAAATATTTTCTAGTTTCAAATAACTCTAGACTTTTGAATTATAACCTGTTTTTAATGTCCAAGCTATCTGTGTATTATTTCTCCTGCAGTTGTACATAGAATGTTTTTACATTAAAAAAAAGGACAAATACTGCCGGGCGGTGGTGGCGCATGCCTTTAATCCCAGCACTCGGGAAGCAGAGCCAGGCGGATCTCTGTGAGTTTGAGGCCAGCCTGGGCTACCAAGTGAGTTCCAGGAAAGGTGCAAAGCTACACAGAGAAACCCTGTCTCGAAAAAACAAAAACCAAAAAAAAAAAAAAAAAAAAAAAAAAAAAAGGACAAATACAATAGAATTGTATTACATGAAATATATAGAATATACAAATTCATAGAGAAAGAAAGATTAGGCATTATCTCAAGATGGAGAAGAAATGAATATAGAGCAATGATTTCCTAAGTACAGAATCTCTGTTTTGTGTGATGGAAAAGCCCCACAAACCGACAGTAGTATCAGGACATAATATCATGAATGTAATAAATTAATACAATTAGTGTAATGAATATCATAGTTATTGAATGAATACTGTGAATGTAATCAATGAATACCACAAATGTAATCAATATCATGAGTGTAATTAATGAATATCATGAGTGTAATTAAAAAAAAAGAGTATGTATTCCTCTTCCAGAGGACTTGAGTTCAGTTCTCAGTACACATGTCAGACAGCTCACAATTGCCAGTAACTCAAGCTCCAGGAGATACGATACCTTTGGCCTTTTTTAGGTACCCATACACACAGAGCATAGACTCATGCAGAAAGAAAACAAAACACCATGTAATTTAAAGCTTTTAAAAATGAAGCGAAATTTTGAAAAATTAGCTGGGAGTAGTGGCATAAGCCTTTGATCTCAACACTAGGGTAGCGGAAACAGATGGATTTTGGAGTTTTAAGTCAGCCTAGTCTAAATAGTGAGTTACCAGCCAACCAGGCATAGTGAGACCCTGTAGAATTCAAGCTTTCAAATACTCAGGGTTGTATTTTTTGAAGACTTCATGGAGTGGTAGGAAAAGGCCCTAGTTGGGAGCTGGAGAGGTTCAAGTAGCCTACCTTGGGAATTAGAATATCTGTCTTTGGACTTTGCATAAGACACAGTCAATACTAAGCCGGCTGAGCCAGGGTTCCTGTTTTTGGAGACAATCGAGTTTCGGGGAGTGACTTAGATGGGTAGCATGGGATGAACATTAATAGAGATCTGTGCAAATAACCTTGGAAACTCAAGAGAGATACTCAGGGAAGATGGAGGTTTGTTAGTTATCTGTGGCCTTCGTGTCTATTTACTCCCTACCTAAGCAGATAAAAGGAACAAGCCTTTCATATTCATAGTTTCTTTGGGTCAGGATGGTAAGCATCGCTTAGATTGGTGCTTCAGCTGTCAGTCTCATTTTGTGGCTTAAATGGGGGGAGACAAAATCAAAGTTCACTTCATGAGGCAGTGAGAAGGCCTCTGCAGAGTGCTGACTCCCCTAGGATCAGTGCAAGTTTAAGGCCACTGGACTATTCAACAAGTTCTAGAAAAGCCAGGGATACCTATCAAGATATTTTGTCGCAAAAATAGTGAAGTATAAGAGAACAAGACTATGTGAGGAAACCAGTACTTTTGTGATATCCTGTCACTTCTTCTATACTGTATTCCTTATGAGTGGATAAGCATGGTCCATACTCAATGGAAAGAGAACACACAAAGATGGGAAAACCAGGAGGGGATTATGTACGGATCACTGGGGTTCAACAAGTGTTCTGAACCACTGAGCCATCTCTCCAATTTCTTCTTTTAAGGATATCAAAGGGATTTTCTCTTCTCTCTCTCTCTCTCTCTCTCTCTCTCTCTCTCTCTCTCTCTCTCTCTCTCTCTCCCAGGTTTTGTGTGTGTGTTGTCTGCATGTATGTCTGTGCACCACCTGTGTGCTTGCTGCCTGCAGAGGTCAGATCCCTTGGAACTGGAGTTTCAGATGGTAAATGAGCTTCCATGTGGGTACTGGGAATGGAACCAGAGTCCTCTGCAAGAACAGTATGTGCTCTTTTTTTTTTTTTTAAGATTTATTTATTTATTATGTATACAGTGTTCTGCCTACATGCATGCTTGCAGGCCAGAAGAGGGCACCAGATCTCATTACAGATGGTTGTGAGCCACCATGTGGTTGCTGGGAATTGAACTCAGGACCTCTGGAAGAACAGCCAGTGCTCTTAACCGCTGAGCCATCTCTCCAGCCCCAGTATGTGCTCTTAACTGCTGAGCCATCTCTTTAGGCTCTGTAAGGGATTTTTCTTGATTAGGGTATTTGAAGTGTGAAGGCCCACCTTAAATGTGGGGTGTACCTTCTGATGTCAGCCAGATAAAAGGAGGTCCTGGGGGAAAACTTTGCATTTTTCCTGCTTGTCTTTTTGCCTTCCTGCCATGCTGGCAAGTTCATCTACCCAGTGCATCTTGCTGCTGTTGTTGCTGCCATGGCCATCCTTTCTAGACACTGGGACCCAGCTTTTTCAGCCTTCCAACACAGACTGAAGACCAGTGGCTCTTTAGGAAGCCTCTTGGCTTTCAGCATTAGTCTGGGACTGATGAAACATCCAGTGTCTCAGCCTCCCCGATAAGTTGTTGGATTGCCCAAACCATATCGTTTAAGCCAATCTAATAAATAACCTTTTATTTTAAAAGTTTTAGGAACAAAAAAAAAAATGCCGGGCGGTGGTGGCGCACGCCTTTAATCCCCCAGCACTCGGGAGGCAGAGCCAGGCGGATCTCTGTGAGTTCGAGGCCAGCCTGGGCTACAGAGTGAGTTCCAGGAGAGGCGCAAAGCTACACAGAGAAACCCTGTCTCGAAAAACCAAAAAAAAAAAAAAAAAAAAAGTTTTAGGAAACATTTTTACTGTGTATGTGGGTGGGTGTTTGTATGTATGTGTGCCCACACATGTATAGTGCATGTGTGGAAGTCAGAGGACAATGTGTGAGTCCTGGAGCTCAATCTCAGGTTATCAAGCTTGGCAGCAAGTGCCTTTTCCCAATGAGCCATCTCATTGGTCCAAATCCCCCTTTTAATATATGTATGTTATATAGGATAAATGTATTCTCTTGGTTTTGTTCATCTAGAGAGCCCTGATTAATACACAAATTTAATGTCTATCAACAGGGAAATGGATTGAATCAGTTATACTCTACTGTGAAATAGAATAATATGACATAATGTTAAAAGGATGCACTTATCAGACTGATGAGATAGCTTTCTCAGGTAAAGGTGCTTGCAGCACATGCCTGAAGATTTGAGTTCAAACCCTGAAGGCTATGTAAAGGGAGGGAAAGAAATGAATCCACAGAGTTGTTCTCTGACTTCACACATGTGCAATGGCATGTGCAACACACACACACACACACACACATTTTTAAATTTTAAAGTCTGGGAGGTTGGTAATTGAGGCATGAAGTATATTTAGATTACAGAGGACGTGTTTGTCTACAAGCTCAATGATCAACAAAAATGAAGATAAAACACCAACAGTGCAGGACTCTCATGTGCCAGACCTGATACAAGGTTGCAGTGGGATTTTTATCAGTCCTTCAAGGACTTGTTTCCAACGAAGTCCTGCTGTTAAATTCAACTGAGTTCAGTAATTGCTAACCGAGGGTTGAGGTTATGAGTTATTGATAGAGGGCTGGAGAGATGACTCAGAGGTTAACAGCACTTGTTCTTTCAGAGGACTCAGGTTTGATTCCCAGCACCACATGGTAGCTCACAACCATTCATACCTCCAGTTCCAGGGGGTCTTCTAACATCCTTATAACATACAGGCTTGCAGGCAAAACAATCACACATACAATAAAATGAATAGGTTTTTTTTAATTTAAATATTTGTGATGAATAGTTTTTTGTTTGTTTAGTGGTTTTGTGGTACTGTTGGTCAAACTAGAGCCTTAATCCTTAGAAGGCTGAGGCAAGACTACCATGAGTTCAAGGCCAGCCTGTATTAAGCAAGCACCAGGCCAGTCTGAACTAAATGGCAAACTCCTCTTTCATTAATGACAAGAAATTTTCTGAGCCTTGTGCATGCTAGGCAAGTGTTCTACCCCTGAGTTAGTTAAAGCTCTTGAAGTTTGTAGACTTCTCACATGATTGTATTAATAGAATTTAACCCATATGATGGGTCCTATGTAAGACGAATTGCTAAACGGTCTTATTAATAAAAAAAAAACCCAGAGCCAGATATTGGGTTAAAACCTGAGAGATCAGAAAAGAAGAAAGAAGCCAGCCACGTTCTCACCACTTGGAGCTCCTCAGCCAAAGAGACCTACTTCCTGTATACCCACGCCTATGTCTTTCTGTTCTGCATCCCACTTCCTCTCTCTACCCAGCTACATCATTTCCTCTTGCTGCCCAGTTCTGTCACTTCCTGTCTGTCTGTACAGACCTCCAGATCTTTATGGTTAGTGCTTAAAGGTATGTACCACTATGCCTGGCTCTGTTCCCAGTGTGGCCTTGAACTCACAGAGATCCAGATGGATCTCTGCCTTCCAAGTAATAGGATTAAAGGCATGTGCTAACATTGCCTGACCTCTATGTTTACTATAGTGGCTGGCTTTTTCCTCTGATCCTCAGATAAACTTTATTAGGGTGAAGAATATATTGGGGACACAATACATCACCATAGTTCTAATTTTTAATGGCAAGGTACAGTCACTGTGGTTGACTATAATCTCTCCATTTTCTCAAGTCCTGATTCTGTTTCCTTGGCTTAATCTTTAAAAACCTCCCATCTTGGGGTTGGGGATTTAGCTTAATGGTAGAGCGCTTGCCAAGGCCCTGGGTTCAATTCTCAGCCCTGAAATTTAAAAAAAAAAAAAACTCCCATCTTTTAAAAAATATGAATGGGTGTTTCGCTGGCATGCTTGTTGGTGCACTACTTGCATGCCTGTGTCCAGGCCCGAAGAGGGCATCAGTCTCCTGTAACTGGAGTTCTAGTTGCAAGTCATTATGTGGGTGCTGGGAACTAAACCCAGGACTCTGGAAGAGAGCCAGCACTCTTACCTGCTGAACTATCTCTCTAGCCCTGTTACTCCATTCTTAATGTTTTCAATTAATTTTATACTTATAGTTCCCTCTGTCTAGTGAGTTCTGACTGTTCACCATCATATATATATACAGATTCCATTCAAAGCTTAATTGTTTTTATTTTGAGACTGTGTGATGTAGCTCAGGCTGGCCTTGCTTTCTTCATATAGCCATGGATGACCTTGAATGTCTGAACTTTGTAAATTTATTTATAGATAGGATCTCCTATTTCCCAGGCTGGCCCCAAACTCCTCATTATATAGCCAAGGATGAACCCCTGATCTTCCTGCCTCTACTACCCTAGTGCTATGATTATAGGCATGTGCCATCATGCCCAGTTTTTATATGGTGCTAGGGTTCAAACCCAGGACCTTATATGCTAAGCAAGCACTCTACCAACTGAGCTACATCTAGGTGTCCTGAACTTCTGACTCCACCTCCCTAATGCTGGAATTACAGCAGCCCTAGCCAACCATAAGGTTTTTGTCATTAGTATTGTTTCTGCCAGACATGATCATAACCTCTCTGAAAGTAGGAACCAAAATTCAAAACTCTTCCCATCTCACAGCTTCCTAATTCACCCTCCTCTCCATTCAAAACCCTGCATGCACATATGTCATCCCATTTCCTTTTTGCATTTTAGCCATGGTGCTAACGGAAGGTAAGAGAACAGCTTGTGGGAGTTGCTTCTCTCCTTCCACCATTTGGGTCCTGGGGATCAAATTCAGGATTGTCAGATCTGTGGCAAGCACCCTTACCTGCTGAGTCATCTCACCAGCCCCCACAACCTCTCTTGAAAATGTTTTTGTTTTCATTTTTATTTATGTATAAGTGTCTGTATTAGTATATGCCACATATATGCAGATGCAGGTGGAGGCCAGTGAAGGGTGTTTGATCCCCTGATCACCTATGCTTGCTGACTGCTTTCTCACCCGAGTGGGCCTCATCCCCTACACATCCTGAGATGTCTTTTAAGACCCTGTCTTTCTGGACCACTCAGCAACTTTTGATTTTGTGACCACTTCTGGGGGCTTCAAGGATTCTAGGGTCACCTAGCTGTTCCTGCTCCTCCTCTTCCTCATATACTGGCTAGTTAATTCTGTTTTGTTTTTTAGTACTAGGGATTGACTGAGACACATATGCTAGAGAAGTCAGCCAATGAGCTAGCCCAGCTCTCCTTTTTGAAATGTTGAGACAGAGTCTTTCTATATGTCCCAGGTTGTCCTTGAACTCATGATTTTCAGCTACTCTCTTGGGTAGCTGAGGTTATAGGCATTCACCACCATACCAAGCTTCTCTGCTTCCCTGTGTCATTTGTCAGCTCCTTCTTCTTCATCAAACCTTTGATGGTAGGTGGGCTCTAAAGACAAGTTGAAACTCTTTTTTCCACATCAAGTCCCATGGTTTTAAGTACCACACCTGGATCAATGATGCTAAAATCTGTGTAACCAGTCCCTAACATCTCTGAACTCCTTTCTGTAACTGTCCACTCTGTATTTGTATTTGAATGCTTGGCAACTCAGAATTCAGAAAAGGTGGGTGTAGTGGTACATGCCTGTAATCCCAGCACTCAGAAGAGTAAAACACAAAGATAGCTGTGAGCTTGAGATTGCTGTGAGCTGGAAGCCAGGCTACATGAGATCTAGTTTCAAAAACAATGACAAAACAAACAAACAAACAAAAAACCACCAAACAGCAAATCAAATCTTCTCACCAGCTGATTAAAAGTCTCTAATAAACTGAGAATGTGAGCATGGCAGTACTGAGGAAGGAGGATTGCTGTGAATTTGAGGCCAGCCTGGGCTACTTAGCAAGACACAGTCTCAAACAAAAACAGAAACAAGACAAACTCTCCAGAACCTGCCCATCCTGCCTACAGTAACCTCCCCTTTGTTCCCAAAGCCTTTTGCAAACAGAGCTGGTTTACCTCTGGCCACCGTGTCCTAGCCAGAGCAGCCTCCTTCCCATCCCTGCTGTAACGGTTTGGTATTAGTAAGTCCCTTGCCTGGAATGCTGTTCCCTTGAGTTTTCTTGGCTCCGTTTTTATCCTTCAGATCTCTGCCTAAATGTTCCTTCCTGAGAACTCACCTGACCACTGTGGAACAGTCATCGAATACCCATCTGTGCAACATCACTTCAGTACTCTGGGAAGAACTATTCCCTTGTAGTTTTCTAATTTCAGTCGTTTTTCTTTCTACATGGGAAAGTAAACTCAGTGACAACAGGGACTTTGTCTTGTTCCTCACCACTTCCTCAGTATTTAGGGCAGTGCCTGGCACAGAGCACAAGCTATTTGCTTGCTCTCTCTAGCCAAGGCTGGTTGGTCTGCAACTTAACTCTGTAACCCAGAGTGGTCTCAGATTCTCAGCAATCCTCCTGCCTCTGCCTCCCAAGTGCTGGAATTACAATACAGGTAAGAGAAACCATACTCAGTTAAAAGCTTGATACTTGAATGAAGAAATGAAATAAATTCTTTCTATTTAACACCCCCCCCCCCCCCCAGTCAGAATCACAAAGAGTTACTTTGTAAGCCAGTTGTGGGAAGCCTCTGTATTGGAATTGAAATATTAAAAAAGGAAAAAAGTTGAGTTACTACATAAAGCATAAAGTTAAGTTGGGAACTGTCAACTGTTGGTGTGCTTCAGGAGAGGATATCAACTCTGTGCGTCATGAAAGTGGTGGGGGAGGGCCACCGGCAGCAACTGTAACCCTTGGGAAGTCCGAGGCAGGAGCAGCCATAGTTCAAGGCCAGCCTGGGCTACAAAACAAGCTCCTGTCTCAAAGAAGGAGTGCGGGGACAAGGAGGAGGGGGAGGGGGCAGAGGAGGAGGAAGAGGAGGACGAGGAGGAGGAAGAGGAGGAGGAAGAGCTGGCAGACTGCTTCTGCAGCCTCGTCGAGAACAAGACAAAATGCAGACAACAGAGCGTCCTGGCAGTGGTCTTGCAGCCAGCTTTCTTGTTCGGAGTCACCATGAGGGCACGTGGGTTGTGGGGCCATGGCGTCCTGCTTTCTCTGTCTGGGCAGGGAGACCATGTGAGGCTCAAGAACAGCTGGAAGAAATGGAACAGGAAGAATTGCACTATTGGGGGAGGGGCGGGGGGGCCTCCTTTAAAGGCAGCCTGTTTATGTTTCAGGCTTGGCAAGCACCTTTATTGAGCCATCTCACCAGCCTGTGTTATTATTTATTTATTTATTTATTTATTTATTTATTTATTTATTTTTAACTTCATTTGGTTTTGCTTTTTTGAGACAGCCTCCCTATCTTGCCCTGGCTGGCTTGGAACTCTAGGTAGACCAGACTGGGATTAAAGCTGTGCACCCCAAGGCCTGATCTATTTACTTTATTCTTATGTATATGGGTGTTTTGCCTTGATGTGTGTCCGTGCACCACATGTGTGCCTGGCATCCAAGGAGGCCAGATGAGGGCATTGGATTCTCCTAGAACTGGAGATACAGATAGTTGTTAGTCACTAAGTAGATGCTAGGAATTGAATCAGGGCCCACTGGAAGAGCAGCCAGTGCTCTTAACCTCTAAGCCATCTTTCCAGCTCTTTCTTTCTTATTTATTTATTTTGAGATAAAGTCTTACTCTGTAGCTCTGGCCTGCAGCCCTCTATGTAGACCAGGGTGGCCTCAAACTCACAGGGATACACCTCTCTCTACCTCTGAAGGTTGAGATTAAAGGCATGTGCCACCATACCCATTTTGCTTCATTTTTTTAAAGACACAGGATCTCATGTAGTTTGGACTGGTCTCAAACTTACTATGTAGCTGAGGATGACCTTGGGACTCCTGATTTTCCTGCTTCTTCTTTCCAAATACTGGAATTATACTGGGATTACAAGCCTATACCATCAAACCTGACTCAGTTTATTTTTTTCCTAACTAAAACGATGGAGCTGGGTATGACAGTTCATATACTTGTAATTTCAGAACCATGAGAGGCAAAGGCAGGAGAATGGCCGTGAGTTCCAGATCAGTCAGGAACTTGCTATGTAGAGGCTACATATGAAGACCCTGTCTCAAAACAAAACAAAAAACAAAAAGTTGAGTAAGGTATGGTGTAATCCTAATACTCAAGATGAGGCAGGAGAATTGTGTTTGAAGCCGGACTGAGCTATATAGTAAAACTTCGCTTTAAAAAAAAAAGAAAGGAAGAAAGGAAGGAAAAAAGAGAAAAGAAAAAAAAAAGGGAAATAGCCTAGAGTGCTTGCTGTGCAAGTCTTATGACCAGAATTCGTATCCCTGGGACCCATGTAAAAAGCCAGATTCAGTGTCTCATATCTGTAATCCCATCATTCTCATTGGATAAACCCAGGAAAGACAGACAGACAGACAGACAGGATAATCAGCTGGAAGCTGAAGGGCCAGTATACAGCACAATGGCAGAAACAAGAGATCCTGCCTCAAAACAAGGTTGAAGTTGAAAACTGACTCCCATTGACCTCTACATGTACACTGTGGTTGCGCGCGCGCACGCGCACACACACACACAAATTGATTTTTTTAAAAGGGAAAACTGCTGCTTAGGGAAATGTTTCAGCCAGGTTTAGCTATGAAGGCACACAGAATCTGTAGCAGCTGTGCTCCAAAGGGACCAGCCTGTACCTCAGGCTGTCAGGAGAACCTGACACTGTCCACATGATACTGGTTTTACAAATAGGAAAGAGGCAAGAGTGAGGGGGTCATGGAAGCTTGTGCCAAACTTCTAGAGAGCCATGGAGGAGGCAACATTGACCAGGGTTGTGGTTATATTCCCTGCATAGTGCTCCTGAGTGGGCTGTATATCAAGCTGTGGAGATGATGCCTAAGTTATAGTGAAGATCACAGGACAGTGAAACTGTCAGAAACACAGATGTCCAGCAAAGAAGTTACTGACCCTGAGTGAAGCCGGCACTAGAGAGAAGCCATGTATATTGTAGACTACAGAGGTGAGAGGAAGGAGCTCAGATCCTAGCTGTGGATGACAGCGTTTCAGGCTTGCCCTCCTGGGGTTTTGTCTTGCTTTGGTCTGAACTTTCCTCTCTGTACCCCCATTCTTCCCTTTAGGAATGGAAATATTTGTTCTATGCCACTATATATTGGAAAAATGTTTTTGACTTTACAACAGTTCACAATTAAGAAGTTACTTTGAGTCTGAGGGCAGACTTTCAACTTGGGCTTTTGAACAGTGTTGAAACTGTTAAGACTCAGTGGACTTGGGAACTGGAGAGATGACTCAGAGGTTAAGAGCACTGACTGCTCTTCCATAGGTCCTGAGTTCAATTCCCAGCAACCACATGGTGGCTCACAACCATCCATAATGAGATCTGGTGCCCTCTTCTGGCCTGCAGTCATACATGCTGTATGTATAATAAGTAAATCTTTAAAACAACAACAACAACAACTCAGTGGACTCCTTAGGATACATAGATGCATTTTGTGTTCTGAGCTCACCAAGAGACTTTGAGAGCCAGAGCTGTCTGGATGTCAAGTTGAGAAGGGATGGTCTTGTAATTGTTACTATTCACTGACAAATTGATTTGATTTACAATCAGGAGACATAGGTGTAGATGGGAGTCTGTGGGTATGTTTCTGGAGAGGTTCAACTGAGGAGGAGAGATCCACCTTGAATATGAGTGGTACCCTCCTGGGTCCTAGACTGAACAAAAGAGGAAGACAAAAAAGGCTGATGAGTACTGCTATCCATCCATCCCTGCTCCCTGATCTACCCAAACATGCACAAGCATCCTCATGCTTCTGCCGCCACAGATGCAGGCCACTCCCACTGCCATGCCTTCCCTATCTTGATGAACCATATCAAGTCATGAGATAAAATAAATAATTCCTTCATCTATTTTAAACCTTCCTTTCTTAACTTGGTATTTACTCACAGCAACAAGAAAAATAAACTATATGTGCAGTTACACGTTTAGAGAATTAGCTGTCTTTAAACAAAGCAAAATGATAGAAGCAAAAAAGAAAAGAGGTAACAATATGTGCTGGGTGTGACTCATAAGAGAAACAGCTAACCCAGGCCACCTGCTTTTCTCTCTTCTACTGCCCTACCCCAACACAGCATAAAGACACTGTAAGAGGCACCTGGAAAAATAGCTAACCCTTGCCGAAGGCTTCTTACATGCTGGATACTACAAGTTTTCTAGATTAAGTCATTTTATCTTCATTAAAACCTTATAAAGAGTCATTGTAATAGTTGTTTTACAGATGTGAGGCACAAGGCAGTTAAGTAAGGTTCTTAGATTACCTAGTCAATTGGAGCAGGCAAGCTGATGCCATTGCTTGAACCCTGAATCACCTTATCACACTGTCCCAGTGAATGACATTTCAATGGGCATGAGTATTTGTCACTAATTAGTGCTTTGAGACGTCAGAGGAAGATGAACCAGGAGAACTCTATGGAGGTCAGGACCTAAGTAGGAAATCCAACAAGCCAGGGCCAAAGTTTGGCTCTTTAGTGTCCCCTAAGAGTCTGTGTTGAAAAAGCAAGTGGTGGGTATCTTCAGTTACTTTGAGAGGATAATGGGTCCCCAGTCCTTTTGTCTTCCTTTATTGAGCATCCTGGAGCGAGTATCTTTGTTCTATGATGTGCTACAAACATAATATATGCCTTGTCACAGTCCTAAAATCAGCAGGGCCAACCAGTAAATCTGCAAATCAAAATCAACCTGGTTTTTCTTTCTTTCTTTCTCTGTCCCTCCCTCCCTCCCTCCCTCCCTCCCTCCCTCCCTCCCTCTCTTCTCTCCTCTTCTCTCTCTCTCTCTCTCTCTCTCTCTCTCTCTCTCTCTCTCTCTCTCGTTCTATCCCTCCCTCCCCCTTTCTGAAACAGGGTCTCTCTATGCAGCCCTGCCAGCTTGATCTACAAAGCAAGTTCCAGGACAGGCTCCAAAGCTACACAAAGAAACCCTGTCTTGAAAAACCAGTATATATATATATGGATAAACCAGGCATCTGTGGCTTTCTAGCACCGAGGAGATAAACTCAGGAAAATCAGGAATTCAAGGTCATCCTCAGTTACATAGTGACTTCAAGGCTAGTAGTCTGGGTTCCTGGAGAGACCCTGTCTCAAAAGCAAACAAGGGTGGGAAGATGAATCAGTGGGTAAATGTGTGCTGTGCAAGCATGTTCTGAACTCAGATCCCCAGTTCCCAAATAAAAGCCAGGTAGTATATGTCTATAATCCCAGTGCTGGGGAAGAGGACAAAGAAGAATCCCTAGGACTCACTGGCCAGCCA